ACAGATGGTTTTATCTCTCATCACTTCCATGTTTAATATTTTTGGTATTTAGTATGGAAGAGGTTTGCCTTAAAATTTATTTGCAAAATAGTATCGACAATTACATTGTCAAGTACTCAAAAGGTTGTTTCACATTTGTACCGCATTTAAAGTGCAAACGTCTTCAGATATGCTCAATACAAAATTAACCTGTTATTATTCTCTTTTGATTGTTTTTAATTAATAGTCAGCTTGTTATAATGTTATAAATAATAACTTGACAGACTGGCATAAATTTACCCAAAAGTTGAATCTATTCTAGGGTATTCAGGATTATTTATTTATTTTCTTCTCGCCCCACTCCTGGTCTTTTTTGTTCTAAAAGAGGTCACGTAAGGACGTCGGTGGAAGGGCTCTGTGCGCCATCTACTGACGGAATCTATATTTCCAGGGGCGGAATAATGAGAATTACCCCTACATTCGGTCTTTAAAGCATTCTTCTAGAAAGGAGGGGCAATGGGAAAATCCCCTCTCTGACTCTATGACTTGTTGGTGACTCCTGGAATAAATCTGAATTCAGCAAACGCATAATACAAAAAGGAGACATCACTTCCTCAGCGTGAGTACAAGTTATAAGAGAAAGTTTCAAGAGAAGTTAGTCAAACCCTGAAGTTAACTTAAAATAAAAACAGGATTGTTGTTTTTCACCTGTGTGGCGAGCTGCTCTGGCTGCCTCCTGGTTGCCGCCCTTATAGAAAATGGCTTTGCTAATGGCACATCCAGACGGCCATCAGTTATTACACCAAAGGGCTTCTTTCCAATTTGATTATTTTATTAAAAATGCAATAATGCTTAGTAAGCAGGTCCACCCTTCCTGTCGCTCCTAACACCCAGCTTGCCTACGTGTATATATATTTAGTCCTCATATGCATGCACAGACACACCTACAGGTGCATGATATGCATCCGTGTACATGTAGGTCAGATGAGAAATCTAAGCCCTTGGATTAAAATGCTTCTCCCTCCGTCGTTCTCTCCACTCTGTGCTAAATTTCAAGAGAGAGAGAGATGGGAGAAGTTGGGGTCCTTAAGCCAGAGAAGTTTTCTTGGTTGTAAGTGGAGGATCTGATTCGGGTTGTTATTATTATTATTATTATTATTATTATTATTATGCGAGCAGCTGGGAGGGCTGAAAATTAACAAATAAGACCCCGGATGCTCCAGGTAGCCTTCCTCCCGTTACACTCCTTCCCGTTACACTACTCTCTTTAACCCAAGGGCCAAGACGACGTGCTTTTGTGGTTTTTATGAAAGAAAAATGAAAAGGAAGCAAGAAAGGTGAGCCAGAAAGAAGAAAAGAAGCAAGTAAAACGCGAAGGTTGGGAAAAGAGTATGAAGCCAAAGGAAAGATTCAGAAAGAAACTGGAAAGCGAGGGGGGGAAAGGGGGGAGAAAAGAAAGAAGATCAAGGCGGCAGAAAGGGAGCTAGGGAGATGCAAGGATCTTTACTTAACGAACCTAAGTTACACCCATCTTTCACTTTCAAATCAGTTGTCTAGATCTTATCCGTTTCCTTTGTAAAGGTTGTCTGCGTTGCTAAAGGAAGCTAGTCAGTATTCCTCCCCACGCCCCACGCGTGGCGGAGCTGTTCCATCCCCGGCCGCCGAGACCAAACAACCCGAGTGGGGACGTTGCAGGCGCGCGCCTCCGGGAACACTTCCGCGACTGGTTGTCACTCGGGGAACCTAACCGGATTAAGACGCAGAGATGGGATTACGTTGGTTGTCACCAATACGCCTAAAGAGTAGAATCCAATTGATGCACATTACAGTCAGTAGACACTTGATCTGATATTTTAAGGCTCCCAGTTGCCCCTCGCTTCCTCAGAGGACAAGCCTCCGCGTTCTGATGCAACCCGGCAGGTTGAAAGGAGGGAAAACATCCCGAAGGAAACCACTCCAAGCACCCTCCCGGAAGGTCTGCACACGGCGCGCCCAGGTATTTCGCCTTCACCTGGGCACGGCTTTGGGATGCCTCCCCGCCGTGGACTACCGACGCGGGAGGCGTTCCCTTGGAAGGAAATAGCATCTCCTTTCTCTCTGGTTCATTTCATCTTTATCGTTTCCGTGGCGGTGGCGGTGGCAGAGGCAGATGGGTGGGGAGCGCGGGGGCCGGTGCCTGTGAGTGGATGGGGAAGGGGGCCAGGGGATTGTTGCCGGTTATAACAGTCTCAGCGATCGCTCATTCCTGCTTATTTGTAGGATGGTATTTCTCTGGCTCAGTCCTTCAATAAGTTTGTTTGGGTGAGACTTCTTGCCTTGTCAGCACAAAACCACAAAAAGACGTGGTGGAAAGTAAGAGAAAGCCCCTCCCTCCCTCCCTCCAGCGTGCTAACTAACGCCAAACACTTGATTTAACACCCCTTCTCCGGCTGCTGGGGGCTCTGGGCAGTGGCTACATTCCAGCAGTTTTAATCCGTTTTTTATTGTAGGGCGAAGGGAGTTTACACATGGGCAGGGGTGGCTCCCCAGCTGGCCTCTCCCC